CAAAATGATTTTCTCAAATTTTTTTTCACATTTTGTCTCTCATAGTTGAGGTCTACCTATGAAGTCAATTACAGGCCTCTCTCATCTTTTCAAGTGGGAGAACTTGCACAATTGGTGACTGACTAAATACTTATTTTCCCCACTGTAGGTACTAAATCACTAAACTATAACTCATTGCACTAAAGTCGAGTGTTACGGCTTTTATTTTGACGCGTTGCTTTCGCCAGCAGAAGCGGACGGCTTCGTGTCAAAGAAGCTAAAACTAAATCATTTTGTTGTGAAACTACTGGGACAATAACGGCAACGTTTTGTCGGTGAATTCTTGAGCTGTGGAGGAAGATGATGAGGAGATTGATGAAAACGAGGAAGATGAGCTAATTTGCAGAGAATTGGATTAAAAGTGGTGAAATGTGGTTAGCGTGAATGCTAATATTAAAGCGCGGTGAAAACAAACTACGATTGTGGTAAAACACAATTCATGTTTGCACACGTTAGAAGGAAATACTGTATGTCCTCAGGTCCTGCGACAATAAAAGCAAGGAATAAAAGATAAGAATATCTCAAAGACAAAAACATACTTTTAATGCACAAAAAAGGTGTAAACTCAGTGTAGGTTCATCCTCAACAAGGCAGCTGAACTTAAAGTGGTGTTCAAGTCTTTCATATCACAATATATATCACAGGGTTAGAAAAAAATCGTAATGCCAGTTTTTACCGATGTTGTGCAGCTCTACTTCCAAATGTTGTTCACAAACGTCCCCAACAGTACTCACTTGGAGAGCTCAACCTCTTCAGCTATGCAGCTCCAAAACTGAATTACAAATTAGTTTAACCCCTTACCAGACTCAATGGTTGATATGGCTGAAGAATGTATTACAATAGAAGCATTTCATATCGTCATATCAATAATTATTGATTAGTTTTGTTTTACATATTTGAAATAAAGATCAGGAGAAAAAAGGCTGATAGTGACGTGACCTTTTCTCCTCTATCCACAAATTCCTCCTGAGCTGTTGCACTAATTTTTCTCCTTTCACTCCACGTCATTCTTTATTTTTAAGAAGTTGTGAGTCACAGCAGAGAAACATGGAACTGATGCTGCACGTTACTTAACAGGTTGTTGCTAGCTGATCAAAGAGTGAGTGAGTTTGATGCCATCAGTCGTCAGCTGCACGTTCACGTGCTCAATAGCAGTGGTGGGCAGCACTAATCCAAAAATTAGCTCTGCAATTTCTAAAGGGCTTATGTAAATATTTACATCCACAACCTCAAAAGCGTTTATGCCGTAGAAAAACTAGCGGAAGCTAATTTTAAAGCACAAGTTCAATTAGACACTTACTAGCTGGCAACAATTCATGTACAATATTTACACAACACTAACTAGCGGTGTATAAACTCTTTTACAACTTAATCCTACAACCGCCGATTGCTGGGGATGTGATTTCCTGAAACAGACCTTTAACTCCTGGTGTTAAAAAATTAAAAAGTTGTTGAGGATTGCTAGTTCGGCCACTTCTTTGTCTTTTTCTTTTGTTTGTTGTAGATTTTTCATTAAAGAAGCATCAATAAAGCAATTTTAAAACTGTTTATTGGAAAACTGAAGCGATGCATTCTGGGTACATGATGGATTTGACTTGTGAAGGGAAACGAAAGCACGGAGTACAGGAAACTATCTTCCTTTCAAAATAAGAGCTTGGATTTTAAAGTTTTCCATGTAGTTGCTCCAGTGACCACTAGATGTCTGTCTTCACCAGCATAACATCTTTAAATCATATCTGCGTCTCTAACCCCGTTGCTTCAACCAATTACGTCAAGTATTGAGCTCCAGCATTTAAACTTTTTTTAAAGGAGCTCCGATTGTAAAGTAAAATAAATCAATACGTACAAAATTTTAGTATGGATTACAAACATTTACTGTTTTAGCTGGGACAGACTAAACATTGCCTTCCTGCTACGTAAGCAGACACAAAGCATTGTGGGAAATCAGAACCGTGACCCAAAGCAACATTCAGCAAGGATGTATACGTTTCCAATACGTGTGTTTATCTGGGAGGGGTGCTGTTGGATAGATCATGTGTGTTGAGATTCATTGACAGCCATACCTTCCACTGTTCAAGATAATGATGACTGGTAGATAATTAGTTATTAGCGGTACTGCATTTTAATTTTAGAAAGCGAAAATCCACTTATGAATTATAAAAATTAGTAAGACCGCTAAAGTGCAAACGAAATATTTAGGTTCGCAATTAGTGGATTTGCACTTTGGCGAGCTGGTGCCCACCACTGCTCAATAGGATCAGACCAGCTGCTCCTCTGCATCTTGCTAATTTAACAAATGGCTTGTGGGAACGGATCATTTTCAGCAAAATGACCTGCAAACCACAAAGTTCTGACCAATCAGAACAAGGTCCACAGGCCAGAGTTCTGACTGGGGGATTGGTCAGAACTTTGTGTGACGGGTGTCACCAGGGATAACAGACAGAAGCTGTGCAATTTTATGTCACTCAACAGTGAGCAAGTAAACCAGCCTTAATGGTAACCATGCACTTTGCTAAACTCTGTACAGACTGGATGTTGACTTGGCTTATCTCTTAATTTGAAAGCTGAAATGTGGTAATGTTTGTGTTTCAGGTATGAACTGTACCTGGTTGTTGACCACCACATGTATGGTACCATGGGTGGTGTATGACGGCAGGTCTGACAGATGGAACGTCTCGTAAACAATCCCCTGTCCGGCAAACGCAGCATCACCATGAAGAAGAATAGACATCGCCTGCGAAGTAATTCATCATTATGAAACAGAAACCATTTTAGATACTCTATAGATGTACAGTTAAAAGCCTGAGTCAGTGAGTCCGGTACCTTCTTGCCCTCGGTATCTCCAGAGTAAAACTGTTCAGCTTTGGTTTTTCCCTGCACCACTGGGTCCACAGCTTCCAGGTGGGATGGGTTTGCCATGAGAGACATGGTGACGTACCGGTCACTGACCCGGTTTATCCTTCTGTGGTACATCCCCAGGTGATACTTCACATCACCTGAACCCTGAAAACAGAGGGAAGGAGTTCCAGCTGAAAGGAAAGTCAAGTAAAACATCAGGATCTGACAGTTCAGCTGAGATGGAACACAAGTTCTAACTGTTTTATTAGTAAAACTATTAATAATAAAATATAAATGTTGTTGAAAGTTAGATGTTTTTTCTGTTACATTGGCTCAGAAACTCGAATACAGGAGACAGATGTTCTGGAT